TGTAAAAAGTGCTACATAAATAAACTTTGACTTCACTTGACCTTTTCTGATTAATTAATATTATTAAGGACCATCTAGTTGATTCTGACTCCTGGAAATCATATGGATAGTTTTTCTTCAGAATGTTCTGTCTGCTGTTTCATCAGAAGGAAACCTTACCAGCAATCTGAAGTATAAATAAAAGTGTAAATAGTTGTGACTGTGAAACGATTATTAGGCAGTGGTGTTGCTGGTGTGAACCGTGTCCATGGAGGGTGGGTTTTTTTTGAGTGGGCCACCCTCCACGTTTGTCCTATTTGTATCCTCAGCATTACCCTGGGCCTAAATGTGTTGGGGTAAGCACAGAGCAATGGTTTTCTCCTGCTGCTGTGTTCTAATAAATGACAATTCACTTAAAGCTCTATGTTTCCCACGCCAACACGAAAGTATGTTTAGAGAAAAACAGAGCAGCATTTGATGAAAGGAACACTGTGCTAACTGTTAAGCATGGGGCAACCATTATGCTTAGGAGTTGTGTTGCAGGCAGTGGCTCAGGAAACATTGTATGAGTTGATGAAGAAAGGATTCCACTAAAAATTTACAAATCTGGAGACAAGTGGGACACAGTCAGTCAAGAAACTGAAGCTGGAAAGGGGGGCAGGACACTGATCCCAAACATCTCAAAATCCACCATCAACTACTTCAAGAAAGACAAGCTGAAGCTTTCAGAACAGCCCTCACAGTCTTCTGACCTGAACATCACCGAAAGTCTGTAGGGAGATCTGAAACATGCTGTGCATGCAAGAATACCACAGAATTAGAATCACTCTGGGAGGAAGAGTGGGTAAGAATTCTTAAATCAGGAACAGAAAGACCCTTAGCTGGATACAAAAAGCATCTGCAAGCTGTGTTATGAGCCAAAAGGGGTGAAATACTAACTTAGTGGAGCACCCAAACTTTTGCACATGCCAAATAACTCTTTATTAGTCAATCAAATAAAAAGTAGAAGTGCTTTAACATTTGCAGAAAAATATTATTTTAAATACAGTTTGCAGCAGAAAAGTCAACAAAATATTTAGTCAAACTTTCGTATACGACTGTATGTTAGGTGTAATAAACTCACAGTGTACTGTGATGTTCAGAGGTTCTGATGTTCCCACTTGTGGTTGATGGAGCTGCACCAGCTTCAGTAGAGCTGCACACTGATACTGGACTCCATCTTCATCATGCCTGGCCGAGACATCCAGTGTGGCCGTCGCATCCCCGCTCTTTCTCTCCTCTCCAGAAGAGCTGAAACTTCCGTATGACATTTCAGTGGCTGTTCTGTTTTTGTTCTGGTCCACTCTGGTCCACTGTACAGTAAGGCTATGTAATGGACCCACATTCTTAATCTCACACTTCAGCTTCATCATCTGACCTTCTGACCACACGCTGGACTCAGAGCTGACCTTCACACTGTCTGGACGCTCTGAAGAGAGAGAGACAACACATACAAACATTCGGAATGACTGTGTGGATCATATGAACATTATAGAGCACTTTTTAAATGAAACAGTAGAAGCCATATCGCCCCCTACACTTCCTGTAGTGTATTACAGTCTGTCAGAATGACTGTGTGGATCATATGAACATTATAGAGGCTTTTTAAATGAAACAGTAGAAGTCATATTGCCCCCTACACTTCCTGTAGTGTATTGCAGTCTGTCAGAGTGACTGTGTGGATCATATGAACATTATAGAATGCTTTTTAAATTAACGGCTAATGTTAGTTAATTAATGTTAGCTGTTGAGTGAACTATACATTCCCTCCAAAGAACACAGTATGATGATATTTAACTGTTATTTTGATAAATTTTGTTATTGTGACAAACTGTTTTCCCGGAGTACATCCTGTTTTATCAGCTCCACTTATTATATAGGAGCACTTTGTAGTTCTACAGTTACAGACTGTAGTCCATCTGTTTCTCTGCATACTTTGTTAGCCCCCTTTTAACCTGTTCTCCAGCAGCACTGCTGTGTCTGATCCACTCAGACCAGCACAACAAACACTAACACACCACCACCAAGTCAGTTTTACTGCGGTGCTGAGAATGATCCACCATTGTGAGGGTCCATGGGGGTCCTGACCACTGAAGAACAGGGTAAAAAAAAACTGTAGAACTTTGACTTTGAGCAGGCAACAGTCGTTAACAGAGAAAATGATTGCTGTTAGCAGCCACAACATACACCAAGAAATATGATTTATGATTTTATTAGCAAATGGTTTGGATAATAAACAACATTCACAATGTTGAAGTGTAAAAGAGATTTTTATTGATGAAGATGTGAAGGTAATAGACTACTGCCTAATAGTACTTGTGAATAGAGTACCTGTGTCAACCCCACAAAAACAAAGTGTGAAAATGGCACTCGTTAATATAACCATAGCCAGAGTTTCCACCATGTGACCCCCCAAAGATCTCAATTTGATTAGTGATTACTGTACTCACTGTAAAGGCTCAGATGGACCCTCTTTTTACATTGTTCTTTATTTGGCTGTGACAGGAAACAGAACAACTCTCTTCCGTTCACCTCCCACTCTGTCAGACTGGTCGATCTCCACACCACACTGGTCTCATTCTCTATTTGGACAGGATTAATCTGAGACTCCCAGCCCAGAATGTGCTGTGATGAAGGTGGTTTGGATGGTATGGAGCAGGTGAGTTCAACAGGTTCTCCGTACTCCACCAGCAGGGAATCATGGGAAACAGTGAGTGTTGAACAGCCGTCTGTTAACGGAAACATGAAGCAAAAAACACAGTTATGTCATCATGTGTACAACGACCATCACAAAACACACAAACACACTTTTTGATAAATGTTTCCTTTTCAAAGTAACTCCTGTCTGGTGTTTGGTACTGACGCACGTTTGTGAATTAAGGTCTATATGTTAACCCACTTCTGTAATTCTTTCTACAGAAGAATTATACATTATTTGTCTTGTAGAATTTGTTGTTATTTCTGTCTCTCCCTGGATGTGTGTGAGTCAAATTGCCTACATTCTCCGGCCTCCAGAGTTGCAGACTTGTGGACTTAAAGCCCAGAGATTTCACCCAGACCCGGACCATCCTCTCAGGTTCATGGGTGTGTACCCAGGCACCTGAGCAGCTATGACAAAATCTAGACATCTGTTTTTTATTTGCAAGGAGAACTTTACTAGCAGAACAGCAAAACACAAAAAACTGTTCTTGTTTTACAGCTGATCATAATTCGTCTTCATGTCATTCCTGAACATCTACTCAACACTGCTTAGAGATATTCCACTATCCGCCATTATCATGGCCAAGCTGTCAGTGATGCAGTGTTCCTGTAGATGTACTTTGAATGTGAAGATGTGAAGCTCTGTATAAATTAAAGATGTGCCTGGGAGAGCTGTAAAAATAAGACTTCATACTGTAACAGAGCTGAGGATGCCCATTTCCAAATCCAAACACTGAATGTCAACTCAAGTTAAAGAAAACAGTTGCTGCGTGACTTTTGGTTGTGATCTGTCAAATGTCTACTTCAAAGTTAGGATAGTACCAATATACCAATGTTGCAGTGTAGAGTGTTGGATTATGGGGGATGATGACTGTACTGCTGTCAGTAACAGCCTGTAACCTCATATCTTGCCATAGCTGGACACTCTGGGCCAGACTAATACAACTGGGCATTAACAACGGTTCACCAGGCTAAACGTGTAGAACGGTAAATAAGAGTTATTATTAAAAAGTCACCACAGCTGTGAATAAAACACTGGAGTCTTTTTAACGCTGCTGTATTTTCACCAGTGTCCAAGAGCCAATCAGAATCCTCAAATAAATAAGCTCATACATTCTAAACACTCATGAGAAGGTTGGCTGACTTAATGAAAGAAATGAAAACAAAAATAGAAAGAAAAAAAACCTCAGAAATAGAGCTGTGAATTTTAAGGAGGAAGTGCTACAAATAACAGTAAATCCAATTCATTATAATTACAGGAATACATTTTTCAAATTAATTTTTAAATTTTGTATTTTTATTACGATTAAAAATAAATATACTGAAATTTTAATTACTATTATTTTAGATTTTATGTGTCTTTTAAATATGTTGGTTTATCTGCTGAGTGTGTTTGTATGGGTGTGATTTGTTGCATAAAAGATCGAGTTTGTAAAAATAATAGAAAATATAATTTAATCCACATCATCTTCTTACCAGGAAACTCACTGTCTGAGTTGTTATTTTTTTGCAGGACTGTGTATGTTTTGTGTTGAAGTTAAGGTTAGTGTTAGATTTAATACAAACTTTCATACTTTAAGTTGCATTTGACAGATATTTAGTTGAAATGTGACAAAGACAGACTGAGTATTGACAAAGCATCTATTGAGGGCCATCAAAATAAAGTGTTACTGACTCCTCAATCTACAGACAGCTTAAGCTGTGAGCTCAGGACTGAGAGGAGAGGAAATAAGCTCTTATCTGAGAGGAACCTCTCTGTGGCAGTTGGTGGGAGCAGCTGGTTGCAGTCAGGTGAAGAAATAATATACCAGCTTTTAAGCTGGAAGGTTTATGGCAGCATTAACTCATCAGCGTTCACTCATCACATATAAAATTCATCACTCATCACATATAAAATTCATCACATATAAAATTTAATTGAAAAATACATTTGAACTTCAGGATTCTTTTTCAAAAAATATTTAAATTGACATTTAACTTATTTTATTATTATGTTTTTAGTGCTGAGGCAGGTTTATAGGCTTAACAAAAAAGTTAACAAAAACAAATGCAAACAACAATAAACATAGAAAACATAAAATATCTCTTCTTTTCCTTACAAACACAATGTGGTATGGAGTGAAAGTTTTACAATTTTTTACACTTTCCACACAATTTCTTCACTTGTTTGAAGAAACTACAAATCAGAAATGATTAGAGTAAAAGGGGAAATAAGAGAATTTAGCATACTGTCTATAGGAACCTCCCACACAAATACACAAACATTCTCCATGTGTACTCACCGGTGTTTGTGTTTTGTGTATATTCCACATACACTCCCAGCACAACCACAAATATGAACAGACCCCACACCGTCATCCTGAACCAACTCCAGAAGAAGAAAGAGAAACTAACATCAAATAAGCCCCTTAACTCTCCTGACTCCTCCCTCTTTTTGTTTCTGTAGTATTTCTTCGGCTATGCAAATTACTTCTTGCTGGTGTGGTGAGCAGAACCAAAAGTAAATCCTCTAGAGACTGCCAAAAATATAAAAGTCTAACACTACTAAAAGAAGAGTCCTAGAATCAGGCACTGCCAAAACTAACAGCCATGAAGTCTGGCACAACCAATAGTGAGAGCCCTAGAGACCAACACAACCAATAGTGAGAGAGCTAAATACTGACACTGTCAAGAGTGAGCGCACCTAAAACTGGCACTGCTGACAGTAAAAGCTCTAACATCCTCCACACAAATTCAGGCTCTCTTCCAGTCAGTTTTATTAATGTGTGGTTTAAAATTTAGAAATTTCTTTTGCCTGTAGAGCGAACTGTCATTCATCTAACTAAGATGAATTATGATAAACCAATTTATCTAAAGTAGTACATCAGCATGTCACTATATACATATATATCAATAGTCATTTAGACTATTTAAAAAACTGACTACATGCTTTTTTATACGCTGACATAGTGGCAACATATACAAATACAATAAAACTTGGTTAAGTGCAGAGCCTTGAGGTGCACCACAGACAATATCCTGCGACATTTATACTAGTATTAGTATTTTAGAGGTATTTTACTAAAACATAAAAGGTTTGAGATTGGGGTATTGTTGCTAAAAAACAAGAGAGGAAATAATTTTAGGTTTCTTCTATAAAAGGTCTCACAACTACAAATTTAATTAAGTCTAGAAAAGTGCCTATTTCCCAAAAATTGTTTGCGATATCTAACATATTTAGACCAAAGCTATCAATTACTTTTTTTAAGAATGCTGTTGGAGAAGGTGTCTAGAATGCAGGAGGAGTAACTCAGCAGCAGGACAATTTTCTGAAGTTCTCTCTCACAGTTCTTTTAAAACCACAGTGTTTGCTGATAAATAAAAACAGAACCTATAACTGTTATTCTTTAAAGTGATTACTTACACTGATGAATTTTGCCTCACACATTTCCAGTAAAAAAAAAGAATGTATATTTGGTGGAACATACCAAACAAGTTTAGCAGCACTGATTTCTGACCAGGAAAACACAAGAGTTAGATCACATCCCCCTACCATCCTGCACAGTTTTAATAAATCATAATTCTGGAGAGTGGTTTTTAGTCAGAGAGACTGCTCCATCTGAACTAAGCCAGGTTTTTATTAGCATCATAAAATCTAGATTCTGTTATTGATTTAAATCATACAGTGCTGGTTTTATTAGTGCTCTTACAGTTAGGAGGGCCACTGTACCATTTCTATTTTGCTCCATTGGGGTGCAATGAGCAGATGTAACCATGTCAACCATGTCTTTCTTTTACTTCCATTGGTAAATACCGTACTGAAACCCTTCCATAGTTTATAGTGGTTAAAATAGAGAAGAGATGGTTTGTATCAAATGTGATGCTGTTTATTTCACTTACTTCTGTTTTTTTTCACGTCACATCTGACTGATTGCTTTTATATGCTTCACTAATAAAATCACTGAACCGTAGCGACTTGGATGAAATGTTTGGACACACCTTCTTAAAGAATATAGAATTACTTTCCACATTTTAGAGGAATTACAGTGAGGACATAAAAATATTATACAGACTAAAGTGAAAAACGAAAAATTTAAATTCTTCAGGAGTGCAGTGTGCGGTGGCCTTGAGATGCTGATGAGAATATGAGGCCTAATAGTAGGTCCAATATCACACTTTGTTCTTTGCTAAAATATTACAGAACTAGTTCACTCACTCATCATCTAAACCACTTATCCTCCTGGGTCATGGGGGTGCTGGAGTCTATCCCAGTGCTCACGGGGTGGAAGGCAGGAAACACCCTGGACAGCTCACCAGTCCATCACAGATCAGATACACAGACACACACAGTCACACATACACAGTCACTACATAGGTAGTTAAAAATGGAAACCGTCATCAGCAGGCAAGTTTCGTTGGCCTCCAAAGAAATGAAAACCAAATTACAGCTGTTTGCTGGACAAACAAGTAAAATTCTGTTCCCATGTTAGTTGTTGTGCAAAAACACACGTAGGCTAGTGTGAGCATTACCCATTACATTATCTCCAGTTGCCTAAAATGAAAACTCTTACCAAAAAAAATAAATAATAAAAAGTTGCTGTATGTCATGTTCAATTTTGTCTTTTGCTCACCTCCTGCAAATCAAACGTTGCTTTTCACATTAACTAACCAGATGCAGGAGGGTCATTTTCTAATAAAATTTGACAGAACAAGATTTTATCTCTACTGAGCAACATCAGCCACTGCCCAGTCACTGTGAGGCCTTTAAAACCAGCAGGTGGCAGAGCTTTTCTACATGCTCCTGATATACAGTCACAGTCAAAACAGTAGCAGTCTGTAAGCAGCCCGTCCATTCACGTAAACAAGGACTCATTCCACATTTCTGTCAGATAAACAGAGGGAAGCTGATGTAGTAAATGTGGGCAGTAATCTTTCAGTCACCAAATCTGATCATCTGTTCACTGGAGAAGCATTTGAGAAATGCCAGGAATGAACAGCTATGCATTCCTATTACAACCCTACATTGTATCTAGGGCACTGTGGGATCAGTAACATGTGGCACTTAAAATATTGAACATGTTGATGAAGGATAAAATCAGAAGGAACAGACAAGTAAAAGCTTTTAACTATTTTTATTATATAATATTTGCATATTTTGCAAAAGGCATATATTGTTCAGAATTAATGGTGCCTTCACAGATGTGCACATCATCTGCCTTCAAAGATGTGCACTAATGCCCCCCATACCATCATGAACACTGACTTTTGAACTGTGCACTGATAACAAGCTGAGTGGTCTTCGTCAGACCACAGGACACTTTTCCACTTCCCCTCAGTCTATTTTAAATGAGCTCAGGCCCAGAGAAGGTGGCAGCATTTCTGGATCCTGTATATATATGATTTCTTTTTTGCGGTTTAGAGTTGCATTTGTGGATGCAGTGATGAACTGTTTTCACAGGCAGTGGTTTTCTGAAGTGTTTCTGAGCCCATGCAGTGATTTCCACTACAGAATCATGTCTGTTTTTAATGCAGTGCCGCCAGAGAGCCCAAATATCATGGCCAGCATATACTGGTTTTTGGCCTTGTCTCTTGTATAGAAATGTCTCCAGATTCTTTGAATCTTTTAATGATATTATGTACTGTAGATGATGAAAAGCAAAAGTTCTTTGCTATTTTTATGTTGAGAAACGTTGTTCTTGAATTGTTGCACTATTTGATCGTGTAGTCTTTCACAGAGTGGTGAACCCCTCCTCATGTTTACTTCTGAAAGACTCAGCCTCTCTGAGATGCTCTTTCATACCCAATCATGTTACTGACCTTTTGTTAATCAACCAACTTTCCCAGCCTTTTGTTGCCCCCATCCCAATTCTTTTGGAATGTTTTGATGACAAATTCAAAATGGGCAAAAATTTTTCAAAAAACAAAATTTCTGTTTCAACATTTGTAACGTTGTCTTTGTACTATTTTCAATATAGGGTTTAAATGATTTGCACATCATTGAACTTTATTTTTATTTACATTCTGCATAGTGGCCTAACTTTTTTGGAAATGGTGTCATACATAATACCACACTGGAAGAATCAAACAGTGGACGGCACCAAAGAAAAGAACAAAACATAACCGTGCTTGCCTAATCTGGAACAAATGTACGTAGCTAAACTACAAAATGAAAGAAGAACTAACTACACTTGTGTTAGCAGTCATCTCTCTTTAGCTGTCTTGAAGACCTCCATTTAAGGCTTAGGCTCCTCCCCCAATTACATCAGTCAAGATTCTGATTGATCAGAAGCACTGATTGCAGAAAGTAGGCACACCTGTGAAGGGAGAAGCCAGGAGAGAGAGAGAGAGAGAGAGAGAGAGAGAGAGAGAGAGAGAGATACACATACACACACACACACACACACAAAACAAAATATATTCTTGTACATAACGGTTAAACTGTTCACTTATAATCAGATCGGTGAGACAGACGAATATATCAGGACCTTAACTTGTCCCAAAACTTTACGCTCACTTTTTCTGCAAATGCTCTAAATCACAAAGTCTATAAGCACAAATATCTAAAAATGGAAGCTAACTTTTTGTATGTTTTACTTGTATTTTAATATTTAACTGCAGTCGTTTAATTTTTAATCCAATCTGCCTTAGAACTCAGCAACAAAACCTAGACTTTGTCATTATAATTCTGAACGGTGCTGTATATTCATAAAACCTCAAAGCACTACTGCAGATCCTGACTGTACATAAACACACACACACAAAAGGCAAGTTCAGGTTACTGCCAAAGGCACAAGAGAGGTGAGCTTCACACTACAGTGAAATTAGCCAGTTTCCTTTTTAGTGCATTATTTACAAGTATCTTCATACAAAACAGACCATATGACAAGTCCAAAATGCAGAAATACAAAATACAATATACAAACATCAACCACTGGCAGAAGTTTTTCTAAGGTTTAAAAAATTTCAAAAGACCTCATAAAATTTACTCAGTTGCATTCTTTGCCATATCTGTTCATTAACTTAACCCTCCTGTTATGTTCAACTGTGAGGAACAGCAGTAATGTTTCCAAGTCAAATTGACCCAATGCATGTTTAACCATCCATTTTAAGAACAGTGAGTATCACTGATATGAAGTACTGCTCTTAGTAAATACGTAGTGCTGGGTGTGTCAGATCCAGAAACAATTTCAAGCTCAGAAACAGAAACAGAAACAGAAACAAGACCACAATTTGAAGGATACAAATCACAGAACACATTGCAGTATGAATGTATTTACATAATTAATTACATCTTTTCTATCTGTTCTCTCATGAGTATGTTTAAAGGATGGCAATTTCACTTTTAGAAAAAGTATAAAGTACAAAGTAAATCTATGTTTATCTAATTACTTCCTAATTCAGTTTTTTGGGTGTCATTTAGTCATGCTGTGTTGGGTCAGATCCTGGACTGCTTTACTGCTTTTCAGTTCATATCTAACAAAACACACTGTACATTTTTCTGTAATATTCACAATCAAATTTTTAAAGTAGAACAAAAATTGTGAACAAGGCAACACTGCTGTGCTAATAGCGCCCCCTTGTGGGAAATATTCAGCCTGCTAAATGTAAGTGTGATCAAACAGTTAGATAAACGTTCATGGAACAAGTGTGAATTCTGTACAGATTTCTTTTAGGTTCTCCTCTAAAGACCTGGAGACTTGTCTGTCTGGCACAGAGACACTGTAGAATAATAATTATAAAACCCAAACCCTGCATACAGCGGCTCTGTGAATTTAGCATAGAAGGTGTGCAGGTGTGTCAGTGTGTGGTTGTCGGCCGAGACGCTGTAGAAGGACAGCGTTCCAGCTAGCCAGTCCAGATATACTCCGATTCTGTCTGAGCGAGAAGGAGATTCGATAATATCTGAACTTTTCTTATTGTGTTTGGCAGAGTAGCTGATATTAGAGCAGCTAAGTCTCCACGATTTTTCATTGTGTCCAAAAACACACTCGTAACCCCTGCCTTTCCGACTGATTCCTCTGTAGGTCACTGCTATTGCCACCTCACCACTCCATTCTGCCTCCCAGTAACAGCGTCCACCCATACTCTCCACACTCACCACCTGCTCCCAGTACTCAAATCTCTCCAGATCATCCAGATATGACTGTGGATTTTCCACGTGAGTCACGGTTTTGTTCTCATTACACATTAAGGCAAACTTGCAAGCCGTGTTTGGGTTCATTGTCAGTTTGCAGGAATCTGCATTGAAGAAAAATGTTAATTTTTATTTATATATATATATATATATATATATATATATATATATATATATATATATATATATATATATATAAAATCAATGATAATGTGTACGAATGTGTAAAACTTACACTTTTGTAGTCCTTCTTTGATCCAGTCCATTTCATTGGCTGTACTAAATAGAAATAAACACATACATAGAAATAATTAGCTGTTTCATTAAGCATAAAATGAAGATTCCATTTCCAACCAATAAGCAGTGCATTCAGAGATGATGTCCTGCACACTTGGTGTTGAACTCAGATGTGATAATCCTGTTAAGATTTTGTTGACTTTGCATTGAAATTGTTTTGTTGAATTTGGATCAGATTTGTGTGGTTGCACTGAATTTCTATGATTCATGATATTCAAATGTATAAAAACATATGAAATATATTTTGTGTTAAATGTGTGTTAAATTTAAAAGGGATTTGCCTGTTAAATTCAGATGGATGGTTGATTTATACTTCACCCAGCAGTCACATGATGAATTACTTGTAATGTGCAGTTTCTAAAAAGGTGATATACCTCTGGTAGAAAATTTCTGTCTTTGTAATGGACATTCATTCTTTCTTTGTGCATGCAGTACACTGTACATACTTGAGTGTGACTAGTTCACAGTGTGGATCCTTCAGAAGATCAGAAAGCAGCTGTATTCCAGACTCTCGTGGTTTATTGTAGCTTAGATCCAGTTCCCTCAAATGGGAGGGGTTTAATTTCAGAGCTGAAGCCAAAGAAGAACAACCTTCATCTGTAACCAAACACCCAGACAACCTGCAGCAAAAGCAAGGAAACAAGAGAAAGTGACAAACAACAATAATCAAGCAGGTCATTGTTACTCAGTCCATCTCTTTTAGGGGTGAGCTTGATAATTGCAGAGCTGAGGCCACTGTTTGAATGTACTGAGCTGTGAAATGGCAACTGGCAATTCTGTAATGAAGATACAGAGCAAGTAAAAAAGTGAAATGACCCTCACTCATACCATCAATGATGAAACTTATTATACTGATCTGCCAGTTTATCAGGTACAGATGTTGCGTCTTCTTTGGTCCCCATAATATCATACATTTTACTGTGCATGGATTTGATATGATTTTTGATGAATTATGTGAGAATGTTGTACCTTATGGGAATGGCAGCATTATGCCTTTGCAGCACTGTTCACACACGCTTTACAGAAAGCAAACCTGAGAATCTGTAGTTTACAATGTGAACTCTTCAGCCCAGCAGAAAGAAGCTTCACTCCTGAGTCCTGCAGGTCATTGTTACTGAGGTCCAGATCTCTCAGGCCTGAGTTTTCTAACTGCAGAATAGATGCCATCGTTTCACAGGACTTCTCAGTGAGTTTACAAATAGCAAGTCTGTAATAAAGAAATAGATACAATTCTTATTTAGATATAGATGTGTACTTAATAGCATAACATTTGATAAATTGTGTATTTTTTCAAATATGAGGGTCCACGTATGTAGTGCTTAGGATCCTTTTGTTTTTGTTAGAGTTTTTCTTATTATTAGTCTTTTTCTCCGCTAAAACAAATCACCCAGACCAAACTGTAGGTCGCAGAAACATGAAACTTGGGCAATAGGTATTAATCAGGCATATCTGTTTTACCTCATAACTCCTAAACTAAAATTCTTTCCTGCAATTTGGACCATTTAGCTCTGTCTACTTAGATTTTTCACAAATTTGCATAATATGCGAAACCTACTCTTGCGAACTAGTCCTGGGGTTTTTGATCAATCCTCATGCAACTGGTGTTAAAACAATTATGACTTTTATAAACAATATGGGTGCCATTGCTAATTAACCCCTCTGGAATAATTGAAAATAATTTAGAATTAATTAAATATTCTACAACTTGAGAATCCTTCAACAAAAAAAAAAAAAAATATCAAACTTGGTAGGCTTATTCTATCAATTTTGGTGCACATAGGTCATTAGGAGGCGCTTACCTGCTAAATAACTGTTTCTCAGCATCCGTACATCCAATCAAGCTGAAATTTGCAGGTAGCTTCTATTATACAGACTATAAGTGAATATCTAAGGACAACTGGATAAGTTGAAATTTGTGGTCGCTATTAACCAATCATCATTTGGCAGGCATTTGACAGGCTTAACATTGACCAATCATAATGAAACTTGAAAGCTGTATCTATGTAGGCACATTCTAATAACCAGTACTTCAACAAGCTTCAAAAGATTTGGCCACTGGGAGGTGCTATTCATGGGAATCAAGTAGTTATTACATATTACATATTACATGTACATTTTTTCATTTTCGGTCACATAACTGTTTTCCTAGAATGTAATGCAGTGGGCCAAACAAATTTGCCATTAAAAGTGTATTAAAAATTGCATAGTTTTTCAATTGTTGATTTGTTTGAGAGCCACATTTTCAATCAAGTCTCTGGGTTTTGATCTCAACTTTTCAAAATTGGTCTAGGAATACTGTGTGGCCTCTCTAAGTAAATAATTATCAAAAAGTTCTCACTCATTTTAGTCTCGATCAATCAATGAATTATTGCAGCCATGGCATTGCTAGCTTAAATTGCTATAACTCATCAGCAATTGGTCAGATCACCTTAAAACTTGAATGACTTACATTCTGAGATTCTGACGAGGTCTGCAAAATTTGCTCTAGATTGGACTTGGGCGCTTAGCACTAAAAAGACTTAAATCCTTAAAAATGCTATTACAATGATATGACAAAGTCTACAGACAAACTATTGGTGTATTGATGTGATTCATTTCACTGACATTATTAACTTTGCAATTACATGTTTTGTCAGAATTTGGTCTTGGTAATTATTCATTCAAAGACTACAGCTTATCATAAAAAGGTCAAAATGTGAATCCGAACAAAATTTGGTGAACATAATTATTGACAGTCCCTGATAAATTATCATAACATATGGACCAATGGACCAACTTTTGACCGATTCTGACCCACTTTCCCTTAGCTCCTGTATGTCAAAAGGGCCCCTTATGGGTGCATTGGGCCTCATTATGACATATTATGACTCATTATGACATTATGGCATATAAAAGGGTTAAATATGAAGAACCAAACCACTTTCCCACAACTATGACAGCAATTTTATCATTAGTCATCTATGTTGACAATCTTTTGCATGTTCTATAAACCTTTCTAGATCAATACATATGAACATAAAGATATACTATTTAAAGACCACTGCTCATTGTTTATGGCAAATTAGGGCCTTCTGAAAAACTGACTTTCTTTCGCTTGTTTCTCTCTGCCCATAAATAAGGCCTAGTGGGCTAAAACTGTATAAGGGCTTGCTGTGCTGATGATGCTTGGGCCCGCTCATTGCTGCTTGCGGTTATATATTTTTTTTTGTTATTAGAACTCTTGACTTACTGTAGCTCTAAACCTGAGTTACTCATAGCCTTTGATAAGCTTGAATGCACTTTTGCTTCCCCTCTCAAAACAGTTTTCGTAATCACTTGGATTTGCCCAGCTTGGCAAAGTTATCATATGGAATCCACAAAGTAAAACAATCTGAGGCTTTCAGCAATTTTTAGTATAATTACTGTGCTAAATGAAGGTGATTAGTAAATATTATCCATAGAAACCTCAGAATCTCCAGTTTACAGTGTGAACTCTTCAGTCCAGCAGAGAGAAGCTCCATTCCTGAATCAAGCAGGTCATTGTTACTCAGGTCCAGCTCTTTTAGGGGTGAGTTTGGTAATTGCAGAGCAGAGGCCACTGTTTCAAAGGATTGAGCTGTGAGATTGCAGCCAGCAATTCTGTAATGAAGATGTAAAGAAAAAGTAAATATATGAAATGACCCTCATATACACAACACAAGAAGTTGCTGGTTTATCATCAGATACACTTATCTAGTAGCACTTTGTGCTTTTTTGGTCTTTGTAACATCATGAATTTGACTGGGCATAGATTTTATAAGATGCTAGATGGATTTGGATGCATGTGGAAATTGTATTGTTGCTGCATTGTTCATACAAAACAGATGGTTCTATAGACTCACTACACTTGCCCAAATTGTAATCCTTTTATTAGCATGATGCAAAAGGACCCTGTATTCATATGTCCAGGCCAGCACTGTTCTCCACTCCTTAATGGTGGAGATTGGAAACTCTGTCTGTTGGAACCCATTGGAGACTGAAAATAGATGTGCTCAGATCTTTTAAATAAATGTTGAATAGGAATGGGATTTGCCTGGTTGTGTTGCAACCAGAGAACATTTGACTGGTTATGTTGAACTGGGATGGACTGGACTAGTTGTTTTAAATTGGGATGGATTTGCCTGGTTGTACTGAATTCAGATAGGATTTGGATGGTTGTCCTTAACTTGAATTTGACTGGAAATGGCTCACCTGTGTGCTTACATGTTTCCTGATATTCTGTGTAAACGCTTGAAAGAGTTGTACATGAGAGGCTCATAAAAATGTACTTTTGGGAACTCGGCAGATTTCCTATTCCAAGATTAAGTTAAATGACATGAGTTCTTCTGACACACCGAAGTCATGAGAAATAATTTATGGGAATGTACAGTTTGTATGGTGTTAAGGAAAAATTATTAGTGCCTGACAACTCACTGTAATCTAACAACTCTGTGTAAACCTCACAGGTCAGTTTGTCAGACATGGATTAATCCTACTTTTAGACTAAATTACAAGGCTAATGGTGAATTGCCACTGAAAATCCTTTTTAGTCATAGCTTCGCCTTAATCTGAGTCTTGTAAACAGACCATAAGTTTTCTAATTCCATGATCTTTAGTTTAGACACTTACAGAGCCTTCCTGCTGTTCCCCACAGCTTGAACTAGTCTCCTGCAACCCTCTCTGGATGTGTTATATTTCTTCAGGTCCAACTCCTCCAGCACCTTTTCTGACATCAGGAGCATACATGCTAATGCTGAACACTGTATAGGAGACAGCTTTTTCTCACAGCGTTTTTCTAGTTGTAGATATTCCTGAATCTCTTTGTAAAGAGATTGATCATTCATCTCAAGCAGACAGAGGAACATGTTGATAGATCTCTCAGCAGGGAGATTCTCTTTTTGGATTTGGTCTTTGATGAACTGGATTGTTCTCTTGACACTCTCTGTACTGTGCTCTACATGCATCAGAAAGGCTTGTAGCAGTCTCTGATTGGACTCTAGAGAGATGCCTAACAGGAACCGGAGGAAAAGGTTCAGGTGGCCACTTTGGCTCTTGAAAGCTTTATATACCACTCCTTCAATTAATTCCTCAAACAAAACTCCCTCAGACCAGGTTTTTTGCTGCTTAGATTGGTCTCGGCAGTGCCTTCCTCTTGAAGCAACCTTAAAAATCTGCAAAACATCCATATTCTTGGTTTTGAAGCCATAAAACACATAGAAGGCAGCCATAAACTCTTGAAAGCTCATGTGCACAAAGCAGAACACCTTCTTCTGGTAAAGCACAGATTCCTCCCTAAAGATCTCAGTGCAAATCCCAGAATACACAGAGGCCTCAGTGGCATCAATGCCACATTCTTTCAGGTCTTCTTCATAGAATAGTGCATTACCCTTCATTAGCTGTTCAAAGGCCAGCTCAGCAAGTTTCAGAATCACATCTCTCTGCTGAATTCCACATGCTCCCCTGTGTTTCTCTCATTTCCTTCATTATACTTCTGGTTCTTCATGGTTGTTTGAGTGAGAAGAAAATGTGCATACATTTCAGTCAAGGTTTTAGGAATTTCGGCACTACTGTTTTGATCCAGGATTTGAAGCACAGTGGCAGAAATCCAACAGAACACTGGCATGTAGCACATTACATAAAGACTCTTTGTGATCTTAATATGTGAGATGATTCTGCTGGCTTGGTCTTGATCCTTGATTCTCTTCCTGAAGTACTCCTGCTTTTGCTCGTCATTGAATCCTTGAATTTCTGTCACACGGTCAATGTACTGAGAGGGGATCTGACTTGCTGCTGCTGGTCGGGAGGTTATCCAGACATGAGCTGAAGGAAGCAGGTCTCCTTTGATAAGCTTCGTCATCAAGACGCTGACTGGCAATGATGTTGTGGGGTCAGAAATCCCCATCAAGCCCTGAAAATTTCAATGAAATTCTGCTTTCATCCATACCGTCAAAAACGAACACCACTTTGCACAAATCATATATTGTTGAGTCCAATTCTTTGAGCTCAGGATAGAAGTCACACAGAAGTCCATGAAGACTGTACTTGTCATCTTTAATCAAGTTCACCTCTCGGAACGGAAGCACAAACATAAAATCTACATCCTGATTGGCTTTTCCGTCAGCCCAGTCCAGAATGAACTTCTGCACAGACACAGTTTTTCCAATTCCAGCAATGCCTTTAGTCATCACAACTCTTATTTTTCTTCCTTCGGTTTCCATGATATGTTTAATTTTCATGCTTTTCTCTTTGATTTCCCTTCTGAAACCTTTCTTCTGAAAAGGTTTAAAAATATCATTGCAATTGATTGGTGTGTCTTCACATCTAAGTGCTCTTTCAATCTGTAAGACCTCATGTTGTTCATTCACACCTTCACTCTCTCCTTCTATGATGTAGAGTTGCGTATAAACAATATTTAGAAGAATTTTGTTCTCTGGAGTTCTGATGCCCTCAAAGAGGCACTCAAATTTCATCTTCATGCTGGTTTTGTGCTTCTCTAAGACTCTGTGTAAGACATCCTCCACTAGTTGGTAATCTTGCAGCATGGACTTTTCCATGGCTTTTTGTGGAAGGAGAACAGGGCGTGTTTTAGATCTCTTTCTGCACTGGGGGCAGGCAAAGCCTCCTGATGGATCCGAGTGTTCCCAGTAGCTGTTGATGCACTGCCTGCAGAAGCTGTGTCCACATGTTATAGAGGCTGGATCTTTCAGAAGCTGGCCACACATTCCACACCATTCTTTACTGTAGAGACATCAGGAGACAAGGGCAAGCATTTAAAAAAAAATAAAACAACAAACAAACACAGTCTTTAGCAGTGATCTGAATGTTTTCTTTTATATGTGGGAATTCATTATTATACCGTTGTATGCAAGATTGCACCTCTGGACAAATGTCATGAATTTGTTGATTTTCTAAGTTCAAATAATTTAACACATCCTTTACAGTTTTTCGCCCAATATGTGTATTCTCTGTAGTGGATGTGTTAACAAAAACACTACACTCGAGTCAGGATGTTTAAATTTTTGCACACGACAACTATTATACAACACACTTGGAATGTCTTCAGAACCTTTCACTTTTTTCCAGATTCTGTTATGTTGCATCCTTGTGCTAAAATAAAAAAGAAAATTGAAGTGTTTCCCCATCATTCTGCACTCAATAGCCCATAATCACAAAGTGAAAAACAGAATTTTAGAAATCTTTGCTAATTTATTGAAAAGGAAAAACTTTTTGAATTGACATAAGTATTCAGACCCTTTACTCAGTACTAGTTGAAGCACCTTAGGCAGTGATTACAGCCTCCAGTCTTCTTGGGTTTGATGCCACAAGGTTTACACAGCTGGATTTGGGGATTTTCTGCCATTCTTTTTTGCAGAGCCTCTCAAGCTCTAAAGTTGGATGGGGGCCGTCGGTGGGCAGCCATTTTCAGGTCTCTCAGAGATGACCAATTGGGTTCAAGTGAGGGCTTTTGCTGGGCCACTCAAGGACATTCACAAAGTTGTCCCTGTGTTGTCCCTGTGTTGTCTTGGCTGTGTGGTTAGGGTCATTTTCTTGTTGGAATGTGAATCCTCTGCCCAGTCTGAGGTCCCGAGCCCCCTGGATCAGGTTTTCATTAAGAATATCTCTGTACTTTGCTCCATTCAGCTTTCCCTCAACCCTGACCAGACTCCCTGTCCCTAGCTGCTGAAAAACAACCCCACAGCATGATGCTGCCACCACCATGCTTCACTGTAGGGATGGTATTGGGCAGGTGATGAATAGCGCCTAGTTTCCTTCAGACATGATGCTTAGAATTGAGGCCAAAACGTTAAATCTTGGTCTCATCAGACCAGAAAAATCTGGTTTCTTACAGTCTGAGTGTCCTTTAGGTGCTTTCATGGGTCTTTTACTGAGGAGAGGCTTTTGTCTGGCCACTCTGCCATAAAGCCCAGATGGTGGAGTGCTGCAGTGATGGTTGAACTTCTGGAAGTTCCTCCCATCTACATATAGGATGTTTGGAGCTCAGCCAGAGTGATCATTGGGTTCTTGGTCACTTCCTTACCAAGGCCCTTCTCCCACAATTACTTAGTTTGGTGGGGCGGTCAGCTCTAGGAAGAGTCCTGGTTGTTCCAAACTTCTTCCATTTAAGAATCATGGCGGTCACTGTGCTCTTGGGAACTTTGTGTGCAGCAGAATTTTCTGTAGCCGTCTCCAGATCTGACCTCCACACTGTCCTGTCGCTGAGCTCTACAGGCAGCTCTTTCCTCCTCATGGTTGGTTTTTGCTCTGATATGCATTGTCAGCTGTGAGACCTTATTTAGACAAGGTGTGTCTTTCCAAATCGTGTCCAATCAACTGAATTTACCACAGGTGGACTCCAGTCAAGGTGCAGAAACATCTCAAAAATGATCAAGAAAAATGGGAGACCCACAGAGCTAAAGTTTCGAGTGTCATAGCAAACAGTCTGAGTGCTTAAATCCATGCGAAATGTTAGTTTTTCATTTTTAATAAATTTGCATAAAATTCTAAAAAATCTGTTTTCACTCTCTCATTACGGATTTGATTTTTTTTTTTTAACAACAAAACAATAACAAATATTCAACCTAACAAAATGTGAAAGAAGTGAAAGGGTCTGAAGGCTGTTCAAATGCAATGTATTCTAGTTAGACTATACTGTCGTGTGCAAAAGTTCGAACATCCCCACTCGAGTTCCCTGTTTTTGTTAACACATCCACTACAGCGAATTTAATTTGAACAGTAGGAGTGGGAATCGGATACAATTCTATTACAATATTTAATGATTTGTGATAACAGAAATGTGATGTTTTGTATTACTCTGATGGAAAATTATTCAAACACCCAAAATTAAATTTACACATTTGTTCATCTTATTTTAGTTTTTTCACTGATGCTCATTGAACTTCGTCATTATATTTACACATTTAACAGATACTTGCATTTACAATATTAACAAACATTAAAAAAAGGAAAAAGCCTAACTTATCAAATTTCATGTAAGATGCTTTTAATTTTTACTGATATGGCAAAATTGTGTATGGTAGGTTTTTACACTTTTCTTAGTGTATAATCCCGCTACTATATAACTGTTCATTATGACTACTCTGACAAATGAAATGACTTCTTCAGAAATAAAACAACACCATCTCATGAATTAAGACAGAAATTCATTTTGGTAAACTATTACTCTAGTGATAGACACAATACACAATAAATGTAATCATAAAAAGCATCAAAGATTGATACTAAAGCCAGCATGAAAAAAATTACAATATTACACTGAATTCTTTTTCTCTCAACCTCAAGTACCCTGAAATCGTCATTTAACATGCAACAAAATAATTTATATCCAATGCTAAATTGTAAATGCACAGAAGTGTTTTGAGTTATTTTAAAAAATAGCAGCCCAACCTCAAAGTATTTCTGACAACAAGCTTACTTTTGGTAAGAAGGACCACCAAACATCGGAGGAGCAATCAAAGACTGATCACTCTTCATGGACACACAGCTGGATACTGGAGATGCTGATCTCTGAGGTTTATCTCTGAAAACAGGCCAAACAAATATCAACTGGTGCAGAGAGCCCTCTATACTACCTCATCTTGACATAACAGTCTCCTCCAAAAGTAGTTGTATAAGTTGTATAATTGCATCAAACCAGTGACCCACTAACATCACCAAACTGCTGCATTTTGCTTTTGTGATGCTTTTCCAGGATTTCACTTCAGCTTCTTTCAGCTGAATTTCTTTGCTAATTGCAACCTGGCCTTCCAATCCTTACTGTTGATGAGTGGTTTGGATCTTGTAAAATACATGGAAATACTTGAGAACTGTCCTTCAGAAAAAATTTACATCCCACCACAGTTTAGAGATCAACTTATTACGTGGCCTCATTCTTCACTTATTTCTGGTCAGTAACTGCTCACTAATCGGTATTGGTGGGAGACGATGAACAGGGACATACACACATTCGTTCCTTCTTATTTGGTCTGTTCACAAAGTAAAACTCCCAGAACGTTGCCGACTGGTAAGCTGATGCCTCTGCCCATTTCAAATAGACCCTGGTCTCATATAGCTCTTGATTTTGTGACAGATTTACCTGAATTTCAGGACCTTACTACCATATTCACCATAGTGGAATATTTTTCCTGCAGCGTAAGGTTTGCATAAGGCATCCCTCCAGCCTCAGTTTATACAAGGACTTCATTTCCCAGACCTCCTTGGGAGATCATCTACACCCCGTGTTCTATGTTATATGACCTGTTTAGTTTTGTTTATAAGCCTGGGCTTTAGCTTAAACTAATTGTGAGGTGTTGTGTTTTTCGGTTGCCCTTTTGGTTTATCTGACTCTCTTCTGGGTCTTTCATTCTTGTCGTTTGTCATTGCCCTACTGGTTATGATTGCTCTGTTTTGCCTTTTTGCTATTTTGGACTTGACCCATGCCTGTGGACTTGAACCACGACTATGATTCTTGCCAATCCCTTTTGTATTAAAGCCACTTCTCTTGGATTTTAGTAAAAAAAAATTTTTCCAGTACATTCCAACTTATTGTACTGGATATGTCCAGTGCTTGTGCAATGGCTCTGATCAATTTTCCCTTTTTTTCTGAGCTTCAAAACGGCTTGCTTTTCTCCCATAGACAGCTCTCTGGTACTAATGTTAGTTTATGCTTTTTAAAAGACCAATATGTAATACATTTACTGTAGGAATCATCAAATTGTTAAATGAGCATGATGGGCCATCAGAGATTAAGAAACCATGCTAAGTTTGAAAACTGTCCTTGGTTCAAGACCTGCTGCATTACAGATGTCAAAAGTTTACGGCACAAAAGCGAGAGCCATGGCCAAAATGGTACGAAAAGGATGGAGCAACCCAGCAGCTGAGAGCACTAATAAAACCACTCCAGGAGCTGAGGGACGACATGGTACACCAGCTAAAAAAAGCAAAAGATGACACTTCAAGACGCCTCATTCAGTCACAGCAGCGGCCCTCACAGAACAGGAAGTTGTTGAAGCTAAACTGAATAACTACCTGTTAGCTCCTGATGCTGACAGTGAGACCAGTCCTTTGGCCTGGTGGGCGATTCACTCACCATTTCCCAAAAGTGAGAATCTCAACTAAGGGTAATCTCTGCATACCTGCTACAAATTCACCATCAGAACGTGTTTTAGCACGGGAGGCAACATTGTGACATATTACTTTCTTTTGGTAATAGAATTTTGTTACAAGTCAGTTTTTCATTTCTGGACAGGGTAATCAAAATGTAAATTTACATAGGTCCAGTGAAATCTTTTCTTGTGAATTTGTGTAATTTGTATACTGTACAGTAATATGCTATTGGCGTATTCAGTCTGCATTTCTTCTTTGTAAAACTGACTATGATGTTACTAATCCATTCAGAATCATTTAATTATTCTTCCAACAATTGATATTTTTCACATCCCCACCAAACAGCATGGTCCAAACTGAATGCTTCATATCTTAAATTTTCCATACTTTTTGAAGATGAACAGTGTTATATTGATCCAGATGTTTACCTTTTGTCTGATGAAACACCATCACCCCCGAACATCGGAGGAGCAATCAAAGACTGATCACTCTTCATGGACACACAGCTGGATACTGGAGACACTGATCTCGGAGGTTTATCTCTGAAAACATCACGCACAGTTTCCATCAAGGCTTAATGACGGCAGTATGATTTATCAAAATTAATTTAGCATGAACTCCAAGTGAAATTCAAACCACATGCAGTCCAATACTGCTTAGTGCTTGATGATGAACAAAATATTGCTGTGGGTCCATATTTTTACCTTTGACAAGTGAGCAGTTCAACTCAACACAAAAGATTATTCGAAGTACAAGTGCAGTCATACGCCAAAGTTTAAACACACTCGGTTAGATTCCATGTTTTTCTTTATTTTTTAGAGAGAAAAATAAGTTAACATGTCCTCTACAGAGGAAACAGCATTCCCAATGTCGTAACTTATTTTCAGATAGAAAATCTACTGAACGTGGACAGAACACACAAACTTCTGCACATGACCCTTGAGCTTTGAAATATTGCATGATTGCATGAGATAAGTACAAGTCTTTGAAGTAAAATGCATGATAAGTTGACATGAAATTTAAAAGAAAGTTCTAATTTCTAATAGAGATGTTATCACAGAGTTAATACAAGAATCCAATCTAAATACCAGATGTTTACCTTTTGTCTGATGAAACACCATCACCACTAAACGTCGGAGGAGCAATCAAAGACTGATCACTCTTCATGGACACACAGCTGGATACTGGAGACACTGATCTCGGAGGTTTATCTCTGAAAACATGCCAAACAAATCATATCAACTACTGCAGAGAGCCCTCTACACTATCTCATCTTGACAAAACTGTCTCCTCCAAAAGTGCTGGAACAACAAGGCCAATTCTTTTGTTTTTGTTCTAGATGTGAACAACTTAGAATGTGGCATCTTTGGTGGCAGAACACCCACATTTTAAGGAGAGCAAAAGTAAAGGAACAGATAGATAATCTTGCAGTAAATTAAACTGAATATTACTTAATATTAAGGTGTATAACTGCATCAAACCAGTGACCCACTGACATCAACAAACTGCTGCACTTTGCTTTTGTGATGCTTTTCCAGGCGTTCACTTCAGCTTCTTTCAGCTGTTTCATTCATTCATTCATTTTTGGGTTCTCGGTTCTAGAACTTTTGTGGCTCATCTCTGGATTTCTTTGCCAATTCCAACCTGGCCTTCCAATCTTTACTATTGATGAGTGTTTTGGATCTTGTAATATGGCCTGTATAATTCTGCTCTTAAAGTCTTCTTCAAACGATGGACTGTGATACTTTCATTCCTGCCCTGTGGAGGTTGTTGGTGATGTCAGTGACTTTTGATTTTGCGTTCTTTTTCCACAGCTCTCATGGTGTTCCTGTGATCAGCTGTTTTCCATGGCCAACCTGTTTGATGTCTGCTTATTAGAACACCAGTAGTTTTTCTTTTTAAGGACACTTCAAATTATTGTACTGGATATGTCCAGTGCTTGTGCAATGGCTCTGATCAATTTTCCCTTTTTTTCTGAGCTTCAAAACGGCTTGCTTTTCTCCCATAGACAGCTCTCTGGTACTAATGTTAGTTTATGCTTTTTAAAAGACCAATATGTAATACATTTACTGTAGGAATCATCAAATTGTTAAATGAGCATGATGGGCCATCAGAGATTAAGAAACCATGCTAAGTTTGAAAACTGTCCTTGGTTCAAGACCTGCTGCATTACAGATGTCAAAAGTTTACGGCACAAAAGCGAGAGCCATGGCCAAAATGGTACGAAAAGGATGGAGCAACCCAGCAGCTGAGAGCACTAATAAAACCACTCCAGGAGCTGAGGGACGACATGGTACACCAGCTAAAAAAAGCAAAAGATGACACTTCAAGAAGCCTCATTCAGTCACAGCAGCTGCCCTCACAGAACAGGAAGTTGTTGAAGCTAAACTGAATAACTACCTGTTAGCTCCTGATGCTGACAGTGAGAACAGTCCTTTGGCACGGTGGATGATTCACTCACCCTTTCCCAAAAGTGAGAATCTCAACTAAGGGTAATCTCTGCATACCTGCTACAAATTCACCATCAGAACGTGTTTTAGCACGGGAGGCAACATTGTGAAATATTACTTTCTTTTGGTAATAGAATTTTGTTACAAGTCAGTTTTTCATTATCTGGACAGGGTAATCAAAATGTAAATTTACACAGGTCCAGTGAAATCTTTTCTTGTGAATTTGTGTAATTTGTATACTGTACATGTAATATGCTATTATTTTGGCGTAAGTTTCAGTCTGCATTTCTTCTTTGTAAAACTGACTATGATGTTACTAATCCATTCAGAATCATTTAATCATTCTTCCAACAATTGATATTTTTCACATCCCCACCAAACAGCATGGTCCAAACTGAATGCTTCATATCTTAAATTTTCCATACTTTTTGAAGATGAACAGTGTTATATTGATCCAGATGTTTACCTTTTGTCTGATGAAACACCATCACCCCCGAACATCGGAGGAGCAATCAAAGACTGATCACTCTTCATGGACACACAGCTGGATACTGGAGACACTGATCTCGGAGGTTTATCTCTGAAAACATCACACACAGTTTCCATCAAGGCTTAATGACGGCAGTATGATTTATCAAAATTAATTTAGCATGAACTCCAAGTGAAATTCAAACCACATGCAGTCCAATACTGCTTAGTGCTTGATGAACAAAATATTGCTGTGGGTCCATACTTTTACCTTTGACAAGTGAGCAGTTAACTCAACACAAAAGATTATTCGAAGTACATGTGCAGTCATACGCAAAAGTTTAAACACACTCAGATTCCATGTTTTTCTTTATTTTCTAGAGTGAAAAATAGGTTAACACGTCCTCTACAGAGGAAACAGCATTCTCAATGTGTTAATTTATTTTCAGATCTAAAATCTACTGAACGTGGACTCATGACCCTAGAGTTTTGAAATATTGCATGATTGCATGAGATAAGTACAGTCAAATCCATGATAAGTTGATATAATAAAGTTGTCTAAATATTGTTTAACCTTTGATACTCAATAGAGGTCTATATAGTTATTCTGATACAGACTTTAACCTTTTTTATCATGATGATTTTGGCTGATGTATATTCTGTGGCATGAGGCAGGTAATAGCCCTGGCACTGTATTTGTGCTTTATAGCATCTTTTTTTTGTGCTGGAGCACTTCATGTTAATTAAAAACTTTCATGTACATTCTAATATGGCAGTTTGGCCTGTTATAGGGCAATAAATGAAATTTTATTACTGGGATTTTGGCTAATAGAAAGTTCTGGCTATGTTTGACCGCGAATGGATCAGAATCAGCCATAAAAAATTCACAACTGGCAGATCTTTAGTACTTAGTATTGAATCAACCTTTCTAAATGATGATAAAATAACTTTTTGATGAAATTATGTAAATTGCATTAGTCTCTGAAAGTTCTAATTTCTAACAGAGATGTTATCACACAGAGTTAATACAAGAATCCAATCTATAATATCTAAATACCACTCAAGTGTTATATTGATCCAAATGTTTACCTTTGGTCAGATGAAATGCCATCATCCCTGAACACTGGACCAGACATGGAGTGACCACTCTTCATAGACACACAGCTGGACAGTGGAGATACTGATCTCTGGAGCTGAGCATCTTCATCACTCTCATCCTTCTTTCCATGGATATCCATTTTAGAGGCACTAAGTTGGACCTCTTTTTCATACAGCTGTTTCACTCCTGAAGGAAAAAAATAAAGCGAAGAGATTTTCATCTTCCCAAATCATCACTGTCAATTCAGTTCCTGCCAAAAGGTCTGGTTTCAGAAGGTCTAAGCTGATGGTCAGTAGCTAGATTTGATCCTGGATGGTCAAGGTGGTTGAAGAGCCTGACATCCAGCTGGATTAGGAGAGAACATCCTGATCCTGATCTGTGCTTTGACGCACATATAACGAATGTTACTAGAACAGCCTTCCTGCATCTCTGCAATATTGCTAAGGCTGGATCACTGTAATGCCCTGCTGTCTGGATGTTCCAGGAAAAGCCTTAACAAACTTCAGCTAGTCCAGAACACTGCAGCCAGAGTTTTTACTAGAACCAGAAAGTTTGACCATATCAGCCCAGTTTTATCAACCTTGCACTGGTTACCAGTTAAATTTCACATTGATTATAAAATTCTCTTACTGACCTATAAAGCTCTAAACGGACTCGCCCCTCAGTACCTGAGTGAACTTCTCTCCCACTATGAACCATCACGCCTACTTAGATCACAAGGTGCTGCTCACTATTAGTACCTAGAATTAATAAAGCTACGTTAGGGGGGAGAGCTTTCTCATACAAAGCCCCCCAGCTTTGGAATAATCTTCCAGTCAGTGTTTGGGACTCAGACACAGCCTCAGTCTTTAAGTCTAGGCTAAAAACCCACTTGTTTAGTGGAGCCTTTGGTAATTAGTTTTCCCTGTTAGATAAAAGGTGCAGATCTGGGGTTCATGGTCATAGAGTATTATGGTAAACTGGGAGTGTTGGTGCTGTCGTCCCGCTGCTCTCACGCGTTCACTCAGGTTAGCTGACGGTGGAGTGGAGGGGTGGCGACATCTCAGAGAGCCTCATGACTCTGTTACCTTTCTGGTTTCTCCCTCTTAGTGAGGCTGTAATATCTAGACCTGCCGGAGTCTCTGCTGCTCGGTTAACCCTGTAATCTGTGATCAGTCACTCTTTACAGAACTGACTCTCTGTGTTTCCTTTTCTTTGCTGAGTTGAACAGCTGCCCATCCTGTGCGTCTGATGCTGTTGCTTCTTCTGCCTTGATCAGCTGCCCACTGCTTGCCAGCCTTCTGGACCGGCTTGACCACCACTGAGCTTCATTCTGTAAAAATGCTGTGCAAACCTCATCCTCATGAACTGATCCTCCTGATGCTGCTGCATAAACTAAAACTATGTAATTATCCATTGCTCCACCTGTTTTCCCCATTTTGTACTATAATACTTCATACTAACAATGTTTGCTATCCGGTGTGGGCCAGAGGAGGATGGGTTCCCCTTCTGAGTCTTGGTTCCTCTCAGGGTTTCTTCCTGTTTCTCTTAGGGAGTTCTTCCTTGCCACTGTCGCCACTGGCGACGCTCATGGGGGCTCGGACCCGGATTTTGTCCGTAAAGCTGATTTTTCTGTAAAGCTGATTTGTGACAACACCTGTTGTAAACAGCGCTATATAAATAAACTTTGCTTGCTTGCTTACATACCCTTTGCTTTCAGACTGGTAGACCAGCTAAAGCAGCAGTGCCCAGTCCTGGAGATCTACTACTCTGGAGAGTTTAGATCCAACACATCAGGTTCTAATGTTGAGAAGGTCTTTATTATGTTGATTGGGGCCTTCTTATGAAACACCTGGATTTCATACTAAAGTCAGTCTTAAGAAATGTTTCTGCAAGAATGATTGAGAAAAACAATCTTGCTTGAACAAAACACAAACACAGAAATGAGCACACGTGAAAGAGCTTTCCAACTCTGCTCATCCTTAAACTGATTTGCATATGAATGTAATAACCAAGCAAAGTGTTTTCTTCCACATGGATGAATCAAATAACTAATTAATAATATTTGCTGTGCAGCCTGCAGTAGTAAAGAATTGTTTGCATGTACAATTTTTGAAAAAGAAAAAAAAACAAAAAAAACAGTAAACAGGTGTAAACTGAGTTTACTTAATTCAAATTTGCATGATTTGCAAAGAAAAGATCTAAGATAGATCTAAAATATCTAAGAAAACAGAGCGTGTTTACGGCTTTTGCACTCAGCACACTGGCCGCCACAGTGGAGGGGCCGGAGGGGCAGTGTATCCATCAGCTGACGGTTACTGTCTCAGTTACTGTCTCAGCTCATGAGCTTATGTATTTATATTATTATATATTATAGTTCATGAGTTCATGTAATGTGCTGACTTCATTTTAAATATCTAACTGACAACAATTCAGCAGAAATACAAACCTACATCACTGGAGAGAAAAATTTACCACGTGAGGAAATGAATAATTCAGCCAAACTTAACTCGGTATAAGTTCAGTTGTTGCTATAGTACTAAAATAAACCAAATTTCTCGTGATCTTTTTTCTTTGCTCACCACTTCATGCTGTCTCCCTTCAGCAGAGTCATGTCTGGTGGTGGGATGTTTCAACATTAGCGACTTAATCATTTATCATATCGTCTTATTAATTTTTCAACTGAATACATGTGTGGTTCTGATGAGGTAGACTAGACTGCTTATAAGGTCAATCTAGTGAATTAAGTTATAAGATATCCCCATCATTTCTACTCCTAGCCTAGCAGCATACATGTCAGCCATGCCTGCTTTTGCTGCAGTAAGGTGAAAGCCAGTGCTTCAATAGTGCATCAGACACATTTAAGGTGAAACAGGAAATTTCTAACATGAAGGTGGAAAATAGGAAGGCAACCTCAGCCTTGTGCCTAAATAAAGCAATGGTTAATTAATGGTTAATCTGTGACCCACATGGCTATAGTTACAGTGGAAAATATTAAACCAGAGGACACATGTAAAATGAACAAGTGTTTACCATGGCATGGTAGCCAAAGTTATCTAGCTTTTCTTTTAAACGTGTAGTGTGTGTTGTAATGGCACCATTTAATTAGAGCGGAGAGTGCGCTGATATACTGCAAGACGTTATTCACATCTCACAAAGGAGTTCGGATATAGTTATGAGTAACACTCCATGTTCAACTGCTCCCGCATGTAATCTGATTCATTATGAAATTCTCTCAACGATAATACGATAGATGTTTATTCGTGTTCACAACACTACACTGTGAGACCCCAAAGGTGCAGGTTTATTCATGTTATCTAGGTGAGGACCCTTAAATGATGACTAAATGTTAAAGAAAATCTTTATGCTATGTACTTTTGATGAAAACAGCAGAAGCAGTATACACAAGGCTTAGTTTCACTTTGATTGGTTTTGCCGCCGATTGCAAACAAAACTATAAAGGTTATATCAATTAACACAGTAAGGTTGGAATGCATTACTTTGCATTGGCTGCATTATTCGGCTGTTGTGGGGTGTAATGCTCTGACAGAAACCAGACGCTCGCGGATTGAAAAGATCACAGCAGTTTTAAGTCACACAAGGCACAAACGTCGCCGAGTAACAGGCGTGGGTCAAGTTCCAAACACACAAACGAAAAGAGAGCATAACACCAAGCGAACAATCCAAATAGGGCAGGGCAAAAACGTAATCCAAAAAACAGGCAAAAAGAGTTCAAACACAGATCAGTCCAGACGGGCAAAAGTATCAGAAGGGTTAGGCAAAAAGGCAGAATCCAGATAAACAAAGCAGTGGTCATAAAAAGAATATCAGCAAACAGAATACAAACGCTCAGTAGTTCACAGGGAAACAATACCTCGCGACTATCCTACCTAAAGCCCGGGCTTAAAAACTAAACAACACGAGTCATATGACAAAATACACAGGTGCGACACGTTAGTATTTAGGGGATTGAGATCTCTGATAGGAGCGTGTCCGCGAGTCAGAGATCACGTGAGTTCCCCGAGCATTCTCGGTAACGGAGTCCGTATCTGCCTCCGATTCTGAAGGAAGTTGTGCAGTGACGCGATCTCCCGTGGGATTCTGGGAGATGGAGTCCGTTTCCTTTTGACAGCTTGCTGAATGCGTGACATGGGGAAATAAATCTGCAGATTTCCTAAAATGGTAGACGGCTGGTGACTTGCTGTAAATGTGGCTCTCCTGTTGATTTTCTCCTGAACATGTGGTTCTTCATCTTTTTTTTTTCCTTTTTGAATACCACGGGAATACCATGAGTCCCACACCTGAGGTTCTTTGTGGTTACCCCACTCACATTTCATCCTAACTGATCCTGTAGTATGGACTACTTCAGGTTGGAAACATGCACCAATCTACGTACGTTTATGTCTAAATGCTGAATGAATGAGTCTTTAACTAATGAAAACTTTCCATTTTAAGACCAATCCCATAAGTATAAATGGGGTCCCCGATTTGGTCCGTCAGTGGCTTATGCAGGCTGTGAGTAAGGAAACGGAAAATGTGTGAAATAATTCACAGATCAGACGAGTTGAGTAGAGTTTCTTTATGCTCTGTGAAAGCATGTGAAATATTTCACAGGCGAGCTGAGTAGAGTTTCTTTACATGGTCCGTTCATAAATCATATGCACTGCTGTGTCAATGTTTGTTCCAAAAACTGAAATACCCTTTTTAATGGCGACAGAAATAGACCTGTATAAAACTATCAAATACAACAAACTCTGTTTTGTGGACAATCTTAACCTAAAACAACTGAATTTACATGGTTGTTGACTGTATTTGTATCTGAAATGAAAGTCAGACAGCTCCCATTTCTCACTTCATGGTGCAAAGGCTTACCGTGAATGACTGACCGATAAAACACGGACTATGAAACATTACACGGATCAGCCTGGTTGATTCGAGTCCCTGTGTGAGCTTTTTAAGATATATTAAATTTAATGCAGCGAAGTGTCCCAGTCCAGCGGGATAGAGCTTTATGGAGCAAATCACATATACTGAGACCCAAATATACCAAAAAAAGGTTTATAAATCAAGCTGTTATATAAAAACATATTTCCATAGATTTTTGATGTCAATTGTACGGAAAACGACCTGCCAAAATTAGAAAAACACGCATCTATTTAACTTACTTTCACTTTCTGTTCTTACTCACTATCTTAAACGCACCGATTTAACAGTCGTTAAACGTATTTGGCTCAGTTTTCAAATATCCGCTCAAACAGAGTGCTCTAGGGTTTACATCAGTGTTACCTTTCATAACGCTTGTATAACACCAGAAATAAGCTTTTGTGTTCGCTCATATAAAACTACGAGCCCTCTTCTCTGTGTTTACCAGAGCTTAGCTTAGCCTAGCCGATGAAAGGCCGACCAGACAATGTGAAAACTGGAAATCTGACCTGCGTATGTTTGAAGAACTGGACAGAACGAAGGAATCAAAACCCAGGACGGATATTTCTGCCTTCTTACGAGCTTTTTAACTCCAGTCTCGCTCTGTTGTGGATAACGCCAGCCCAGCAAAACCAGTCCGCCAGTAGAGTGACCGCCCCGCCTTTTCAGCAGCTCTGGTTCCGGAAGTAAAATCCCGTTCATTTTCTCCATAGACATTTCGAAAAGTCCTTATTTAAATTGGTTGAGTACTTAAACCTGCCAGCTTACAGATAAATGACATAATAAAAATGTAAAAAAAAAAAGTTACAAAAGGATACAAGACTGTAGTTAACGCGGAATGAACTGTTTGAAAAATCATAATTCTGGAGAGTGGTTTTCAATCAGAGACTGCTCCATCTGAACTAAGCCAGGTTTTCAGTAGCATCATAAAATCTAGATTCTGTTAATGATTTAAATCATACAGTGCTGGTTTTATTAGTGCTCTTACAGTCAGGAGGGCCACTGTACCATCTCTATTTTGCTCCATTGGGGTGTGATGAGCAGGCGTAACCATGTCAACCATTTCTTTTTTTACTTCCTGTGGTGTGTACCACATTGGAACCCTTCAGTAGTTTACAGTGGTTAAAATAGAGAGGAGATCGTTTGAATCAAATGTCATGCTGTTTATTTCATTTACTTCTGTTTTCGCATCACATTTGGCTGATTGCTTTTATATGCTTCACTAATAAAATCACTGAACCGCAGCGACTTGGATGAAATGTTTGGAAATGCCTACTTAAAGAATGTAGAATTATTTTCCACATTTTAGAAGAATAACAGAGCAGATACACAGACACACACAGTCACACATACATAGTCACTACATACGTGGTAAAAAAGTGGAAGAGTCATCAGCAGGCAAGTTGGGTTGGTCCCAAAAAAGGGAAACCAAATTACAGCTGTTTGCTGGACAAACAAGTAAAATTCTTGTCCCATGTTAGTTGTTGTGCAAAAACACATGAGCGTTACCCATCACATGATCTCCAACAACCTAAAATGAGAACACTTTTCTTACAAAAACATATTAGTTGTACGTCATGTCTATAAATCACTTATTTTGTGTTTATAGTTGCTGTTAAATTAAAGTCAACAGTATCTAATGTTTCTCAGCAGCTTCAGATGACTTAAGCTTTCATGTTCTCCAGTTTTATACTAGAGTGACACAGCGTAGAAGACACAATCTCTTCATGTGAGGGCATGCAGGGGGGTCACTTTCTAATACCAAACAAAACATTTACAGACTGAACAGGATTTTATCTCCACTGAGCAACATCAGCCACTGCCCAGTCACTGTAAGGCCTTTAAAACAAGCAGGTGGCTGGAGATTTTCTTCATGCTGCTAATATACACTCACAGTCAATACAGTAGCAGTCTGTAAGCAGCCTGTCCATTCACATAAACAAGGACCCATGGCACATTTCTCTCAGATAAACAGAGGGAAACTGATGCAGTAAATGTGGACAGTAATCTTTCAGTCACCAAATTATTTCACTGGAGAAGCATTTGAGAAATGCCAGTTATGAACAGCTATGCATCACTATTACAATGTTGCATTGTGTCTAGGGCACTGTGGGATCAGCAAGATGTGGCACTTAAAATATTGAATCAGTAATGGAGGATAAAAGCATAAGAAACAGACAATACCTTTTAACTCTTATTTAAACCAACAAAATAAAAACGCTGTGTGATAATACATCATACCACACTAGAAGAATCAAACTGAGGACGGCACCAAAGAAAAGAACAAAACATAACCATGCTTGCCTAATCTGGAACAAAAATACTTAAACTACAAAATGAAAGACAAGCTAACTACACCAAACTTCCCTGGCCAATAACCAAAAGTACATGGGATGGTGCCCTCTGACCTTAGGAACTAGACAGAGTGGACTACATCATACAATCCCCTTACCTGTTTAAAACCCTAGGAGGTACAAATCAATCAGCGCTTGTAAAGTTGAAGTTAGGGAATGTGCTAGCAAAACACCCAACAAAAACAAACTAACAAGAGCTGCAATTTCTTTGTAAAACATAGTTAAAAGTATGTACAAAAAGTACACAGTACTCCTCCAACACAAGAGACAAGCTCATGTCAACTAAGTTGAAGGAAATACTGATAAATATCTAAAACAAAAAGCTAACAACTCCTAACACAAGAAATTAAAACCACAAACTAAAACACAGCACACATGTGGCAGCAGTCATCTCTCTTTAGCTGTCTTGAAGGCCTCCTTTTTAAGCCTTAGGCACTGCTTGCATGCAACAGTCACACTATTTACTTATAATCACATTAGTGAGACAGACGACAAGACCAGGACCTAAACTTTTTCTGCAAATGCTCTAAATCACTAAGCCTATGGGCACAAAATGTCTAGAAATGGAAGCTAACATTCGCACATTTTATTTGATGTTTAATTTTTAACTACAATCTTTTAATTTTTAATCCAATCTGCCTCAGAATTCAGCAACAACAACCTGGGCTGTGTCATAATTCTGAATGGTGCTATAATAAATTCATAAAACCTCAAAGCACTACTGCAGATCCTGATCATACCAAAACACTGACAAACAAAAGGCAAGTTCAGGTTTTTTATTGTCAAAGGCACAAGAGAGGTGAGCTTCACATTACAGTGAATATATTAATTTTACATTTCCTTTTAAGTGCAATTATACAAATACCTGATATAAATATCTTCATACAAAATAGAGCATATGACAAGTGCAAAATGCAGAAATACAAAATACAAACAAGGATCAACCACTGGCTGCAGTATTTAAGGTTTCTAAAATTTCTAAAGACCATAAATAATTACTCAGTTGCATTCTTTGCCATATCTTTTAATTAACTTAACCCTCCTGTTATGTCCAAGTCAAATTGACCCAATGCATGTTTAACTATCCATTTTAAGAACAGTGAGTATCACTGATATGAAATACTACTCTGAGGAAATATTTAGTGCTAGGTGCGTCAGATTCAGAAACAATGTCAAGCTTAGAAACAGAAACAAGACCAAAATTTGAAGGATACAAATCACAGAACACATTGCAGTATGCATGTAACTAATTATGTAAATACATCTTTTCTATCTGTTCTCTCATGAGTATGTTTAAAGGATGGCAATTTCACTTTTAGTAAAGGAATAAAGTACAAAGTAAATCTATGTTTACCTAATTAGTTCCTAGTTCAGTTTTTTGGGTGTCATTTAGTCATGCTGCGTTGGGTCTGATCCTGGACTGCTTTACTGTTTTTCAGTTCATATCCAACAAAACACACTGTACATTTTTCTGTAATATTCACAGTTGAATTTTCAAAGTAAAACAAAAATTATGAACAAGGCAACACTGTGCTAATCGCTCCCCCATGTGGGAAATATTCAGCCTGCTAAATGTAAGTTTGATCAAACAGTTAGATGAACGTTCATGGAACAAGTGTGAATTCTGTACAGATTTCTTTTAGGTTCTCCTCTAAAGACCTGGAGACTTGTCTGTCTGGTACAGAGACACTGTAGAATAATAATTATGAACCCCAAACCCTGCATACAGCGGCTCTGAATTTAGCATAGAAGAGGTGCAGGTGTGTCAGTGTGTGGTTGTCCTTCTACAGCGTCTCGGTCGACAGCATTCCAGCCCACCAGTCCAGATAAACTCCAATTCTGAACTTTTCCTGTTGCGTTTAGCTGATATTAGAGCAGCTCAGTCTCCACGATTTTTTAATATGTCCAAAAACTTTGAAGAAAAATGTAGCTTAGTGAAAAGTTTTGAAAAATAATGCACATATTTCTATTTATTTTTTTAAATTATTTTATCCACCAATCAATTCATGTATCCACTAAAAGAACAATTCATTCCGCTTTACAGAAAGCGAACCTGAGAATCTGTAGTTCCAGTGTGAACTCTTCAGCCCAGCAGGAAGAAGCTTCACTCCTGAATCCTGCAGGTCATTATTACTGAGGTCCAGATCTCTCAGGCCTGTTTTCTAACCGCAGAACAGATGCCATCATTTCACATGACTTCTCAGCGAGTTTACAAATAGCAAGTCTATAATAAAGAAATAAATACAATTCTTATTTAGATATTGATGTGTACTCTATGGCATAGATTTTATTACAGGTATCTCGGACTGCAACTGGATGATAGGTTGGACTGGTCAGCCAACACAGACATCCTGTACAGAAAGGGACAAAGTCAGCTCCATTTCCTGGGGAGGCTGGGGTCTTTTAACATCTGTAGGAAGCTCCTGCAGATGTTCTATCAGAGCATGGTTGCCAGCTGTCTTTTTTATGTTGTGGTGTGCTGGGGCGAAAGGATGAAAAAGAGAGATGAGATGCAACTGGACAAGCTGGTCAGGCTGGTCAGTGATCGGTGTGGAACTGGACTCTGTGGTTAAGGTGGCCGAGAGAAGGACTCTGCACAAACTGCTCTCCATTGTGGAGGATGATGGCCACCCATTGCACACCATCCTCATGGACAGGAGGAGCATGTTTAGTGGCAGGTTGCTGTCACAGAGCTGCTCAACCTACAGACTCAGGAGATCCTTTGTGCCTAAAGCCATTAGGCTCTTCAACTCTTCCCAGGGGGACCAGAAGAGAAGAGAGAGGAGGGGAGAGGAGAGATGAGGACTGAATCTCTCATGATAAATTACAGGTTTATTTCATCCATCTGCACATATGGACATCTTACTGTATTTATTGCACTTTCTGCACCCCCTATTGCGCATCTTGCACATCTGGACACTTTATTTCAGTACCATTATATGCATATATTTATTCAGTATTGTCATTATATACTGTTACCTGCGTCTCCTTGTACATTCATTATTGCACTGCCTTTTATCTCAGGATACATCTTATTGCATATTTTTTTGTATATTTTCAGTTGTATTTATGCCTGTAGATAGTTTTTTTGTATATTTTTATATTGTATCACCCTTATCATTATTATAATTGTGTTGCGTGACTGCTACTGGCTGCTAAATTTCCTTTGGGATCAATAAAGTATCTATCCATCCATCTATCCATCACCTATTAGGCATGAAATGAAGACTTCATTTCCAACCAGTAAGCAGTGTGTTCTGACATGATGTCCTGCACAATTGGTGTTGAACTCAGATGGGACATTCCTGTTCAGATTTTGTTGACTTTGCATTGAAATTGCAAGATTTTGCTGAATTTCAATATGATTTGCCTGTGTTA